CGGGACGCAAAGCGGCGGCACCCCGTCTGAGAACAGGCGCGGGTGACACAGGTGCACTTTTCGCAAACTCCCTCGCATGCATCATCACGTCCTCCCTGGCACCAACCTCATGTCGAAGGAGCCGGTGAAGGGTGGCACTGCCTGCACGCGCCACTGGCCCTGCTGGTCCGTAAACAGCACGAACATGACCTGGCACGGCGGTTGCTGCTCCTGCTCCAGCACGAACAGGTGGTCTTTCCAGGGCACGCCGCCCTTCGGCAGCTCCATGATGAGGCCGCTCGGGTCCACCTGCGGTCCACCGGTCAGCGGCCGTTGGTGTAAGGCATCCACGTCCCCGTACCCAGTACAGTACAAAGTACAAGAACGGGCGCTGAAGCGCGGTACGCCGGTCACAGATCGGTCAGCGCGAGTGCCTGTCACATGCCATATTTGTACCAATGAATACTGATTGATCTGAGCTTATTACAGTTGGACTTCTTCACATCTTATGCTGCAAAGGCTATGTACAGCACGTGATGATTCCCCAAAGAACAGACGAGACCTCGCCGAAGAAGCGCCCAAACTTGTCCACGCGTGAGGCAACGCCAAACGGCTTGGTCGATTTCAGAAACACATGACAGCCTTACCATTCTGGCACGACCTGTAAGCCAATGATGGCAATGCAGCAGCTCCCGCAGCATGTCTCCTTCCCTGTGCTCCTCGTCTGGTGCCGATCGGTGACAGCCTGCTCACCTGGTGCCGATCAGTGACAGCCTGCTCACCTGGTGCCAGTCGGTGTCGGCCTGCTTCATCAGGAGTCGCCCTGCTCACCTGGTGCCGGTCGGTGGCGGCCTGCTCACCTGGTGCCGGTCGGTGGCGGCCTGCTCCCCTGGCGCCGATCAGTGACAGCTTGCTCACCTGGTGCCAGTCGGTGTCGGCCTGCTTCATCAGGAGTCGCCCTGCTCACCTGGTGCCGGTCGGTGGCGGCCTGCTCACCTGGTGCCGGTCGGTGGTGGCCTGCTCCTCTGGTGCCGATCGGTGGCGGCCTGCTCCCCTGGTGCCGGTCGGTGGCGGTCTCCTCACCTGGTGCCGGTCGGTGGCGGCCTGTTCGCCTGGTGCCAGTCAGTGACAGTCTGCTCACCTGGTGCCGGCCGATGACGGCCTGCTCTACCAGCCGGCGGGCCGGGTACCAGACGGTCCAGATGCGCTGCACGGCGTCCGTGAACTCGGCCGTCACCAGCCGCCGCGCACGCTCGAAGCACGCCGCTTCGTCCGGCTGCGTGTCATTCCACGCCGGGTTGAGGCGGGACACGCGTGCGCCGATCGTCGAGTTCACCTGGTACCTGCGACACCGACGACCAGGCAGTCAGGCCAGCCTGGTGGCCGTGGAGGCCGTCACTGGGCCGGCGGCACGCGCTGTGTGGAGGGGGGGGAGGGGGGCGGGACAACCAGCGGAAGTTAGGCAACATTACATCTGCAGCAATGGGTTGAATGAAAGGAATATTGGACAAGCAAACATTGGACAAGAGCATATCTAAGACATTCTATGCATGCAGTCTTAGTGTGGCGTGTCATGGTCAGCCCATATGAATCACGAAAACGTGAGTTTTAACCAATCAACGCAAATTTCGCGTGCTGTCCAATCGATACAGTTCTCTCGGACTAGGCGGAACCGTACATTCTGACCCATCCGTGCCAATTCCGACGACGGCACATAACCAATGACAACTCGGCGGATCCGACCCCTCCGCGCCAACCCACACGAGGCCCGAAGCCGACCCGCTCCGAGCGCCCCGCCCGCGCCCACCGTGGCGTGCCGTCGTGCTGGTTGACGCCGTTGTCCACGGCGTCGATCTCCTCCATGAACGTCTGGTAGAGCCGGTCGAACACGACCTCTCGGTGCTCGCTGGCCGCGGGGCCCAGCTGGGTGTCGAGCACGTCCCGTCCGAAGTGGTGGAAGATGAGGCCGGCCGAGCTCAGGCGCGTCACCCACGGCTTGGCGCCGGCCGTCAGCGAGCGCATGCTCTCCGAGAAAGACCTGAAGCCAACAGACGGCTCTCGTGCCGGTCACACGCGCCCGCTGACGGCGTCACGACATGCAGCCACGACTGAGACATGCGACACAAATGGAGAACAGACAACTGTGCTGACAGGGGTGGAGTTTTGTACCCCCCCCCCCCTCCCCCTACAGCCTTACTCCAAATGATTTCCCTGCTCTTTAAAATGGGACTCAAAAAGCTGACAAAAAACAACAGAGATGCATTACACCCCCAAAGTGTGTTATCTGAAAGTCTGAACCCATCTCCATGCAACCCATGAATCTTATAAAGCTTTGACAATGTGCAGTGTCAAATATAATATAGTGAGTGAAAAATATAGACATCCATAGGTTGCTGAGTGGGCAAGAGTCTGTCATATTATCATAGCACTAACTTTTGGTGGTGGTCATATCGGTGCAGCTCAGGGTTGTAGACAGCACCAACGTCAACAACAATATCACACTCCCTTAGAACAGCTTCATCACGGGACCTGAAACAGCAGTTTTTGTGACATCCTAAGCATACTCCAAGTGATAGAAACTATATGCGTAAATTGTAACGCTACAATGTAGTCACATAGCTAGTGAAATTATTCCAGCAACAGGGCTAAGCTTTCAGACACGTTTCACCAATCTCTTCCATGAACACTGCTAGTTGTAAGGAAACCTCAGATGCTTAAGATGGCTGCATGTTCTGCATTTAGCAATGAACCCACAGAGGTCTATAACTTAGCTTGAACAATGACTATTAACCAAAAACAATTGATCATTCACCAAATGTAGCCCGTGACAAGCCAAACATTGAAAGTGGGGCACAAATGGGTACATAGAAGAAAAATTGCAACTAAAAGTATTGACAGACCTGACAACTTCAGCTTCATGACACTCAGGTAACATCTTGAGCATTGAGACAGCCAGGACTTCATCACAATGGAACATGCCATTGTGCGTTCCAATTTTTTGAACAGCTTTCTTGAATTTTTTAGTTTCTCCTGTCATGCTTCTTGCTAGAAAGAAATCCAATTTAATGACTGCATGCCACTCAATATACCTGGTATGCTGAACATAATTGGTATACACTGGGTCTACAGATAATACTAATGGAAAGCAGTACTAGTTAACAAACACATGTGATTTATATCTATAAATAGGGTATGCATATCACATCACACAAGCATCACATTACAAAAGTTAGGAACTGCTAAACATCTCACATTGTTGTCATTAAGACAGTTAAGCCGCCAAAACACTTAAACTCACATGAGATACAACAAAATTCAAATACACACCTATGGTACAGCTTTTCTTAACAAGTAAAGATGCAAAGAGTCTTGAGCACCATAAGCCACTGGAAGAAACAGTAAAAGGAACTCATCATAACAGATAGAGCTAGGTGACATGGTCATAAGACAATACCACAGCTGGCTGTCATACAATAAGGCAAATCAAACATGAGATCTGTGCAGGTTTGAGCCGCATCATGCCTTGCGGTATCCTAAATCCAGCCAAACTTAGCTTGGTGCACCTCCTAGTTAGGATTCCTCTGAAGCCACATATGACTATGAAGATGGCTTGACCACTACACTACTATAATCCACAAATCAAATACACATTGTATTACACATATTTAGAGACAACATTTTGAATTGGACAACCCAGTGCACATTTTCTGTGGCACATCATTAAGTCGCATAGGGACTTTGTTGTTGTTTATTGGTGTTTTCAGGCGCATCAACTCCAATGGTCATTTTGTGCCCATCTTATAGGGACTGATGACGTTCAGCAAGTTGTATGTAATTATCATAAATCTGACAATGGGTTTCTGAAAACGTTCTTGGTAAAGCTTCAAAATATCACAGATATCTTAATTTGTCCCGCTATGGAACGCATAAATGGAAAATTTTGCAGTGTTGTCCGCTGGACGCGATGCTGAACAGGACCTACATGGAGGGAAGCACCACTGTTACCGAATATTCATCTGTCAAATAACCGAATCATTCGCCCAAAATGACGCACACTGTCCTTGATGCCACCCCTTCCCCAATACTCCTATGTCACACTGGCAGCTAACCGGGTACACCAACACCCATCCGCGTGGCCCGCGCACAACCAACCCACGCGGAAGTGCCACATGCTTTATGTTATAATTTTTCACGGTGAGAGTACCGCAATATGAGTGATGTTCACTCGTACATGTACCTGCAATTATCGCTCACATTTCACGAATCACAGTACGAACTTCAGCGCTGATAACCCTGTCATCACTATGAATGGGCAGACTTTTGAAACCCCTTTATGTATCTGGTTTTCAAAGCTGATTCTGAACAAAAAAATTCGTGAGCACGGTTAAGACAGTTGTGGCGCTATTGGGACATAATCGAGCCGGGCTGATGCTGTAAAGCGCCGGACTTGACTGCGAGGCTGTCCGGTGCCGTATGTGGCGGGTCGTATAAGTCGTGAAAGCCATATGTCATATATATGTAATGACATGACTTATATGAGTCATATTTCACACACTTTATATTGTGGGTTGACTCCAGAAATACAAAGTATATGTAGTGTCTGGAGATTTTACCATGTGTGAATGATAGCCCAGGCTTGTCCGTGAAATAATTGACTGAAAGCTGGGCGACATCTTGCAATTGAGCAAGGAGTATTTGATCCCATTCAGTAGACCTTAAGATAATTTTGAAGGTGACAGTTGTCAAGTAAGATTTATTTTGAATATATTTGTTGTTACATACCTTCCTCAAAATCGAAAAGCACAAATGTAGAATGGGCACCAGATGCCCTACATGACCAGCATTCATTGGTCACATTTATTGAATTTATTAACACTGGCTGGCATATGGTGTCTGTTTTATACTTGAATGTTTTGGATCTGTGAGCAACATCTGTGTTTTAAGATTCAGTCAAGGTGCATCTTGCTAGCAACTTTCATGCATGCAATCATTGCAATGAGATTATTCTGGTTATATTGAAAACTTGTAGTCCTTTATATGGCTGTATACCTGACTCATTGCAATTATCTTCCATAGAATTGAGCTAGGATGAAGTTCACACTTCACAAGTTTTGTGGGCAAAATGTCTGCATTTGGCAATGACCACATGGCTCTGCCACAGGTAGGGCAAAAATGGTCCACCCCTTAAAAGCATTTTTGCGGGTTGCCTGCTGCTCTCACCTATCGCATGGCATGGTGACATGAAATTGATGTGTGGGGTTAGTTTGGCTGCCAATTTTTACCACATCTTGCAGATTGGATGCAGCATGCATGCAAATTTAACTTGTAAATGATTCATGTGTCCAGAGCTGGTAAAAAACATGGTGCTTTTGTTATCTGTATTTGTAGGATATTGTATGGCATGTATGCAAGCTCCATCGCTACAGAACATGTGATGACCTTTGCACTGCATGCTGGAATGCTATCAGGTAATATTGGCCCATTGTATTGGCTTGTGTACAGGCCTTGCCTTTGAAGGCCACTGGTAACATGCTTTGTGCATGTCATGGCATTTGATATGCCTGTTATCAGCAAGTGAGCACAAGATGGCCTTTGTGAAGAACTGGTGGACAACAGATTATGCAGAAGATATTTTCGCATATTTCCTTTGGAAGGAGAAAAACACCATTTCATTTCGAGGTAGATCACCTCAGGTGAGGCTGGGGCAGTCAGGAACTTGTTTGTCTGCATGTCCAGTTTGCATCCCTGTGTTTGGCGGGAGGCGGAGGGAGGGGGGGGGGGGGGAGGTGAATGCTCGTGGGCCAAGCTTCTCTCTGGGCTGTCATCGGAAATGTCCGGTCGATTGCGTCCACTGTGGCCAGCCGAGAACACGCTGGAAGCTTGATACGGGAAGCCCATCCAGCACAATCACGTCGACCTGTTGGCGTGCGTTTGGCGCCAGCTGGGCGAGCGGCGCCGACTGGTGGACATGATCCGGGAGCTGGGCGAGCGGCTGCGCCTGGGCAACACCTCGGTCCACCTGGCCATCCGACTGCTCGACGTCTTCATGGACAACCATCGCGTGGAAGTGCCGCACTTGGGCCTGGTGGCGCTCGGTTGCCTGCTGCTCGCCAGTCAGTGCTCTATTGCCAGGCTGCCCCCTAACCACCCCACCGTGTGGTGGTGAGCTCTAACTGTCTGCGGTGGTGACGGTTGCACGGTAGTGGTTAGTACTATTGGGGCTGCAGGCCAGGTTGGTCTTAACGCCAGTCAACGAGGAATGGTGTAGCTTCAGCGTCCGGACCAGGCCGCGTGGCGGGCGTGTATCTGTTCCATCGTAATGTGAACATGTTTCATTGGAGCTGTTTGATCAGGCGTGGATCCATGTAGCTGGCAGCATTGCATGATCGTGAGCATTCGGCCCTCTCTTTTGGGTTAACACGGAAAGCGAAGCAGAAATTGCGAAAAAGCTCAAGCGCGGGGGGTCCAAGTTGGTTCGAAGCATGATCAAAGCCACACGAGACCAACGCATTTCGACAAAAAGAGATGGAGCAATAGTGCGGTCAGAAACGTGATGCAACGCGTGAGGCTGGTCACGTGGGCTTCCATGCAAAACATTGATCAACGGTTCTAAGCTCTTAGGGACTTTTGGCAAACTTTGGCAAGCACAGGAGGCAGACTCAAAACTGTTCGCATGGTGCCCAGCCCACATATTCCCAGGCGGGCTGAGGGCCGATCGACCCGAAGTGACGCTTCTAATCGGCCGAGAAGCCCCTAACGTCGCCTTTTTGGAGCCGGTCCCGAATGCCGCATCTTGTACCAGGTGGGAGTGGATGGTGAAAACTACACAGGCGCGTGATTCAGCTCATTCACTTCTCACACATTAGTCGAAAGTGTAGGGGATGCCAAATTTATCGACGTCGACTGAAGTTGCCGCGCCAGATTAGTGGTCAGGCCACCAAAACATTCTCGACAAAAGACATCAAAGAATTAGTGCGCGAACGTTCGTCCGAGTAAACAGTTTCAGGTGCTCTGCGCGGACGTGAAGCACGCACATTCCAGCGCACTGATAAAAGCCGCTGGCGTGGGCTTCTCAAGGTTATCAGCTTTCATCGCCTTTGTTCGCCGTCATCTACGTGGGGATGAACGCTCGCGTCGGTCGACACCTTGTTCTCCCCATGCCCCGGAAGGCGCCTGACTGGTCCTGTGTGATTATGCGAGTGCATGGATATGTCAGGCTTGGACCGGACGCTGATCGGCTAGCTAAACCTTAGTACGCGATCGAGAACTCGCATCAGACCTTTTTTGGTATTGTGGTATGTAGTCTTCGTGGCGTAATTCCTTGATGACAACCTGTCCAGTGGAGTGTATGTTCACATCGAAGGTTATACTTTTCCGGCTTGTAGCGTTATGGTCGTCCAATTGTGTGTGTGTGTGTGTGTGTGTGTGTGCGTGCGTGCGTGCGTGCGTGCGTGCGTGCGTGCGTGCGTGCGTGCGTGCGTGCGTGCGTGCGTGCGTGTGTGTGTGTGTGTGTGTGCGTGCGTGCGTGCGTGCGTGCGTGCGTGTGTGTGTATGTGTGTTGTTCGTGTAACTTCCTTTCGCATTTAATCGTCAGCATCATCACTTATGTGTTGCAATAGCGATGTCCAACAAAAGAAAACGGCTCACAGCTGTCATGCAGCCGTAACTTGCGAATGACTATCATGTCCGCCGACGCCACGCTTCGGAACGTACCTAGCTGTTTATCACTCATGTTGCTGATAAGGGCATCGCTTGTCCGTCGGCACTCGCGCACCACCTGCCTCTATGAGCGGATTCCTTGTGCCATTGCAGTCTGTACGATAAACGCAAGTCAGCTTGGTGTTTGAGATAGTGATCGGCATTGTGCTTCCACCGCCACTAGACCCCGGGGTTGGGCGCGCGTGCCGTCGGCTCACGGCGCGACGCTCCCAACGCCAATAGACCCCCGGGGTTGGGCGTGCATGCTGTCGGCTCACGGCGTGGCGCTCACGCCACCACTAGACCCCCGGGGTTGGGCGTGCGTGCCGTCGGCTCACGGCGTGGCGCCCCCAACGCCACTATACCCCCGGGGTCAGGCGTGCGTGCCGTCGGCTCACGGTGCCACCGTCGTTCCAGCCAAGTTCGAGGACCGCGACTGCAATGTGCCGCAGCCGCAAGAGCTGCACCTGCTGGTGGCGCAGTCATACCCGATACGTGACTACCTGGCCATCGAGGCCATTCTACTGGAGTTCTTCGGGTAACTAGGGGCCCCGACGCCGGGCCTGTTGGCGCTCGGCTAGCGCGCGAGACTTTCGTAACAAAGTAGCGCACGCAGCTTCCCCAAGCATCTAATGAAGAGAAGAACCAATGTTTGATACACAATCTTACGAACCAAGACCGCAAATGTCATAGCCATCAAGGACCATGCAATCAAAAGATAACCTAGGCAAAGAACAGTGATGCAACGGTGAACCAAAAATTGATAATTTATGTCGTCGTCACCTGACTGCGCACAGACCCCTCGTGTGTTGTGCACCAGCGGTGGCGGCGCGTGCCGTGCGGCCACCTGGCGGCACCCGTCACAACCTATCCTGACGCGCGTCCGGCCCGCGCCGCAGCTGGAACGTGTCGCTTGTGACGGTGGCGCACTTCGTCGAGTTCCTGGCGACGCGCGTGCTGAGCCACGGCGACATGGTGCTGGGCGCGCTGCATGAGGGGCCGGGGAGCGCGCTGACGCCGCCGCCGGCCGGCGCCGGGCACGAGCCGGCGCCGGCCGCCCTCCGCGCCGCCCTGCTCGGCTACCTGCACTACTTCATGGACGTGGCGCTGCAGGGTGAGTCGGGCTCGGCGCTGGCGACGGGAAAGCAATGTGCCGGCGCTGCGGCACATTGCTTTCGCTGGAAGACCCGTCTGTACGTGAGCCTGCTTCCCTGAGGCGTGCCTCTGATCTGTACGCTGCACGCATGTCTGTTGACAATGCTTTAGCACGATTTCCTTCGTAAAGACCTCTCTACGCTTCTGCATGTCCTTAGATTTGTGCAATCTGCATAGACCAATGCATCGCGTGGCCGTGCACGCGTTCCGTATCGTTAAGGACGTGCATGTCTTGCATGCTGCAGTGGGTGGGCAGCGCTCTCCCTGCCTCGCGTGCCGGGCTGGGCGGGTGGTGGGCGTGCCGCCGCCGGTGGTGACGGGGTGCCGACCGGCCGTCAGACGAGCACTATGTGCTCTGCTACCCGCCGTCGCTGGTGGCGTCCGCCTGCGTGCTGGCGGCGCGCAGTCTGCTGGGCGTGTGGCCAGCCTGGCCGGCCGAGCTGGCCCGGCTCTCCGGCTACTCGGACGTCAGCCTGCTCACCTGCGTGCACGCGCTGCTCAGGTACCGCGCTGTCCCGCTCACACGCCTCTCTGAGATACGAGCCCTGCTTTACGCCCCTATCGGAGATACGTGCCCTGCTTATACGCCCCTCTCGGAGATCGTGCCCGCCTACAGGCGCGGCTCGGGCACCGCCGGCACGAATGTCATGCCGGCCTTAGCGTCACGGCGGCCTGCCTGCCAGTCGTCTGCCAGGGCTGGAGACGCTGGCAGAGATCGCCGGTCACGCTCTCCTCCGTGACAAGAGCGATGTCACTGTACTGGCAGCGATCATACCAGCCGGCCTGGGGACGCGGAGCACTGACATCCCGCCATCTGCCCGCCCAGCCAGTCTCGTCACGTTCTGCCGATAGGGCGATGTACGCGGAAAGAGCGGGCGTCTGTCTGGAGGCCAATGCGGAGATGGGGAGTCCACACTGAGCGGTGCGTTCTGCCGACAGGACAATGTACGCGGACAGAGCGGACGTCTGTCTGGAGGCCGATGCGGAGATGGGGAGTCCATACTGAGCAATGCGTTCCGCCGACAGGGCGATGTACGCGGACAGGACGGACGTCTGTCTAGAGGCCGATGCGGAGATGGAGAGTCCACACTGAGCAGCGCGTTCTGCCCACAGGGCAATGTACGCGGACAGAGCGGACGTCTCTCTGGAGGCCGATGCGGAGATGGAGAGTCCACACTGAGCGGACCCCGCTGTTGGCCCGGACATGCTCACGTCAACTACAATCGGCGCTCACCGATGCCGGAGAGGATCGTCTTTGCCAGGCTCCTTTGTTGTGTTTGATGAGAATATTTATTAGTTGGTTGTCCGTTAACCAGATTTGTAATGAAACTGCTGTCGGTGGCATCCACCTCTGACTGCCGAGCTCGGCGCGGAGTTGTTGCGTGAAACGCTTAGCTTTACCGGAGTTCTGAAAGCCATAGGTCTCACGAGTTGCGCACCATGTATTATCATCGGACGCCTAACGTAGGCCGACAGAGCACGCACAAATACACATCACAGTTGCTCCACCACTCCAGTCATTCGCCGGCTGCATCGGCTATTTACAAACCACTCTCGGACGCCAGCCTCCCTGCCAATGGTCTCGCCGTGCAGCTGCGAGTACTCACGCGCAGCCGCGAGCGAGCGGCGGCGCAGGTCGGCCCCGACGGGCCGGCCGCGGGCGCTACTTTTTCTCCTCTTTGCGCGCTTGGAGCGCGTTCGCGGCCATGCCGCCGAGCAGGGCGACCACTGTGAAGCCCTGCGCCACCACGCGCAGACGCATCATGCGCTGTGAAGTCTGCCGCCGGCCCGCCTGGAAGCTCCACAGGCCGAAACTGAGCGCCGAAGCCGTCAGCAAGCACCCTGCAACAACCGCGGCGCGCATTGCAGCTGGCTGGTACGTCTCCCGAAGGCCACAGGTGTCCGTGGTTTGATTGCGTCATGACAAATTTGTATGACATCACAGTGGTCACCGAACTGGCCGTGCGAAATTGGTACCGTAGCAGACGGGTTGCGTCGAAAGGTATTCTACTTATCGGTACGTTGTTTACAGAACCCAAATATCATTGTGTGCAGGTATTTGGGCACTGTCTTGTGGTGTTCTTGCATATTTTCTGTGACTTGATATTTACTCGCATCCAGATACCTGGCTATGGCACTATTCTAAAGTTATTCATCCTCCGGTCTTATTTCTGTCACCCTGTATCATCGTCCGACCTCCTATATCATGTAGCACGAGACGTGACTCGTGTTCGAGATGCAAATAACCAATGAAGTTCACGTCTGTTAAAACCTAGTAATTAACAACTTGTGACTGAAACTTGCACAGAAAATATTACATTGAATGGAAGCCATTTGAAGTCTGTCGATGTCAGAAATTGTACTGATGCACACTGCACACAACACACATCTTTATGATCATATTTTCCCTGGCCTTGAGCACCATGCGGCTAATGAGGTGGCAGTATTTGCCAGCACAAGCCATTACTGCCTGAACCCTCACAATGGTGGTGGTCTGCACAAATTTCACCATGACTTGCACCTAACTATCCCAGTCCCAGGTATTTTTGGACTGGAAGGGGCTGGGGTAGAATGAGGTGCCATTTTATAGATTAGCCCCATGCTTAGCCCCAGGTCCCAGGCTTTACTGAAGGTATTTTGGCATCTGCAGATATTGTCAGAACCTTATCAGGTCATATCACCTGTCTCACTTTCTTACCCTTAGCCTAAAGCACTCCTTTGATCAAAAAGTTATTATCCATGCATTGTGCTGTGACTTTAAGACTCAGAAGTCAAAAGGGGACATTGACTTAAGCTTCAATTGGGCTTTCACTTTGACAGACTGGTTCTGACACCCTCAGTTTGTTGCTGACAATTGCATACGTGTACTGAAAAATCCCTGTTATCATTAGATAAACGCATGCAGAGACAAGCCAAATGCCAACAGCATATTTTCAGAAAATCCTGTGAAATTGGGGCAGATGTCATTAACCCTGAAATGACTGTTGTGATCTTAAAAGCCCTAATAAGAATAGAGTAGATATGATCAAGTTTTACAAAGGCTACAAAGTGGCATTTTTCTTCACCTCTATCCCCTTCCAGCCTAAAGCTACCAGCAATAATGTTCCTATCCCACTTCCCTCCTGCTATCCTGACAAAGTTGGGAATGACAGAGTTGAGTAGGATGTGTTTCTATCAGCTGCTAACCCTGGTTTTGGAAGTGTGCAAAAAGCCCACATGAGCAAACTGCTTGTGAAATTTGTGTCATATTTACACTGGTATGCCCATCATTTGCAATCATTAAGTTTTAACTCATGGTGAACAACATATCTGAAAATGCAGCATTGCTTTGTGATGGTATAGAGAGGAGGAGGCTTGGATACATTGAAACATGTGAAAATTGGGGGGAAGAGCCCAGTTAACAAAAAGCATCTATTCATATTTTTGCCTGAATAGGCCATTACACATCAAAATTTGTTGAAACAGTGGCTCTCAATGCAGTGAACTTGATGCAGACTATGCATCAGGCTCTGTACACTCTGATTTACAATACTGATACACTGAAACTGTTGCTGGGAATGTTGCTGCTCTTCCAAGAACTTCATGTGTAACACACTTCTTGCAGCCTAATGCAAGGTTCCTGCCTGTCCAATGCATAAGTACACAAGTTCATGCATGAAATGATTGGGCTGCCTGCAAAATGACTTCAATCATTAAAATACCTAATGTGCCCTTTAGATGAAATCATTCAGTCTAATGGATTATGCCAAGTGTCATGCCATAAGAGGTCAGCTTTTTCCTTGTTGCTTGCACATTCATGATGGCAACTTGACTATCTTGAAATTGCTTGGATGGATACACAGATGGTGACTGCAATGCAAACAGCTACCCAATGAAGAAGGTACTGAAATGTAACCGCCTCATGTCAAATGTCGTTCGCAGAAGACCAATTAAAATCAAATTACGTAACAAGAGCGTGCTGTGCGTAGATGCGCCATTTCCACCTCCGTAAATAAAGGAACAAGACCGCACTTACCGACGGGCACAAGTGGGTTGGCTTTCAACTTCCTAACAAACTTCTCTGAGGCAGTCTCCTGATGTTCATTAATATCATGTCTAAGGGACGAAATCCACTCCAAGTCTTCTCGATCAAACCCCGCATCCTGCGCCGCTTTCGCCGGGTCCTTGGCCATGGTTATGCCGAAGTCGGCGGAGAAAGAAGCCGCCACGAAATTATTGCTATCGTCTTCGGGTAGTTGAACTACATATCTATAGGTAAGTATGGGTAATGTGTTCTTTCTCCAGTGGTCAGCGCTGGAGATCATGAGTCTGTAGGAATCGGGGCACCTGTTTTTATTCTTATGCTGCATAAGCACACAATTTAATCAGCACTTCAGTGCTAGGTTTCGCAGAATGGAAGTGTTGCAATGATCTTGATAGTGATGGTAAGTGGTAACCAAGGCAATAGAACGCATGGTAATAGAACTGTTCGGGGGTTCCAGTCCCCCTGCCCGATTAAAGGACAACGTGGGTCAAAGCCGGAAAGAAGCCTGTTTGTTGGCGCATTTTGGGAAAAGGTTTCGTAATGTTTGCTGCTCAGCCCCCTTCCCCTTCTTAACGTGTCGCAAAGCCACGCCCCTCATCAGGATGGAACTTAGCAAAGATGTTAGGAAGGGCGAAATCCGTGCATGGGAGGAAGAGGAGGGAGGGCGGAGAAGTCCTGGGGCTCCTCTGCTATCCTTTCTGCCTTGGGTTTGATGTGTTATAAGCGTGGCCAGTTTAAAATTGGAGAGTAGATATACAGCGATACCAAGTTTCATCATGGTGGCATCGAAAAGCAGCAAGTGAACATGAGCCTAACCCGTGATACGATAACAATAAAGCCTCGGTGCTGTGAACGGCCGGAACCCCCATTTCGGGGTGGCATGGTCGGGGAAAGTAAAATTCCGATTGAAAGCGAATTGTTCCAACTTTCAAAGCCCAGAATGGAACAGGAACGAGGTACAGCACGTTCGCATTGCAACGATTGATGCAAACTGTGGCGTGAAAAGTATGACGGTGGTCACACCAATTTGCATTCCATGGCACAACTTAAGCATTCTCTATTGAATATTTGTATATTTTAGGCATTTGTTTCGGCAGCCGTGCCGCACCGAACTTACTCAGTGTTCCGCGCCTTTGGTTGCTGCGTGTAGCATTGGCAACCACTTCCCAGTCACGATTATGGCATCCTGTCAGTCGCGACAGGTGCCTGGTCCAGGTCACGAATGTGACCCGTCGTTGCGCCTGGTTAGCCGGCCGGCCGTCCCAACGCATCATGGTCTTGTCTATCACGGGCCGTACCGAACATTGCGACACGCCAGGCTTTCGTTACCAATTTCTGCTGTCGGCCTGAAAGTGCACGATCGGGTGGTAGAGGTCAGGGCGCACACAAACGCGGCTTAGTGCGAGCTCTGATCCCAGAAATTCATCGATGTAAAAGCTCGGGATTAAATTGTAGTTTAAGGAAGGACTTAGACGATGCATCACTATTACGAATGGAATACTTGTTCGGACTGCCGTCCCCGTCTGGTGTGTCTGTAGTGCGCAACTACTCATTGGCACACCGGACAAGTGTAACAGCCGAACAATGGTTCATCGGTGGATTGGGTTAATTTTTTAGAGAAATTACGAGCGTCGCCTGTGGTACAACTACATCAACCACCCAGGACGCTACCTCAGCCACCCAAGCTGTCTGCAGTACTCGGCGGTGCCGCTCTTACGGTGATGGGAGAGCAGTCCTGACGTACCTGACTACAGTCCAAGATCCCAACAGTGTTTGGATTTCCTCCCGTTGGTGGGAGGAAATTCAAGATCTCCCAGCCCGTCTTCCAGGAATTTCCTCCCAGCCCGTCTCCGCCCCATGTAGCTCACTCATCGTTGCCTTGGTTAAGAGCACTTCAGCAGTTTGGCTACACTGCGACCATGATATCCACATGGCGCGCGATGCTTCTGCAAATTGTGCGGACTTTCAGCGCCTTTGCCACTACAGATACACTGGTACATACCATTGTATTATCAAAGTGTTTTACGCACATAATACGCGAGGTGCGGAAATGGACACTTTAAAGCTGCATGATCTAACGGTGGTGCAACGACGAACATTGCCATGCGTGGGTGTCGTAAGTCCATAACTGTTATGTGCTATTCAGTACTCATGTGCTGCAGCAGCAAAATTGAAGTACATAGCATTTTCAGTGCATGGTTGAATTATTTACATCACCCTATTTTCAAACCTACCAACCACAATCGATCCATGCCAGTCGAGCTATGCAAGCTACGCTGTCGTCCGTCCATTGTGACTTTCATAACACTGGAATTGCCCAGGTTCACGAGGCGCGAAGGTGCAAAATATGCACGTAAAACACGGGCAGAGGTAAAAATATCGCATCGCACGGCTCAGGCGGACCTAACGCCGCGCTGCGCGCCGGACGCTCTGGAGATCTGTCTTTGTATCCGACAACAGCGCGCGCAGCACGCGTCGGACTCCGCCGCGGACCCAGCCCGCAACCCGGCCCTGACTCTGCACAGCACGCAGCACCAGCGCTGGAAAATGACTTCCGGCTGGATTTCATCTGTCCTGAAATGCTCCACTTCTTTAATCTGGTAGCTTTAAGCAGTGCCCAGCATGTAAATGCTCGACTATTTACCATCACTTTTCAAAATTTGTGCACCCGAACCAAAGGCTCACAACCAAAAGGCCAACGAGCCGCCTCTCCAGGTGACCCGCACCGTCCCCCGCTAGTGCCAATGGCCATGGCTTGGGATCTCCGCACGCTGTGGGGCCAACGCTGGTTGGGCAGACGGAATGTAGCGCGTACTCAGGAATGACATGAAAGCGTCCGGTTACGAACCCGCACGAGCTGGAAAAACTTACTCGCCACACGAGCAAAGCATAGCTCCAAATGGGCCAACAAACACTGGCAATGGTACCTGTCCACTGGCCATAGTGATCAACCATGTGACACACTCAAATCATGTGCAGGTAGGAGCGACTTATGTCACCCGGATGTACCCCGGGTCTGACTGCGTGACAATGAGATAATCGCACCAGACCGGCAGCTGCCGCTGGCCGACGGCCTCCCCCGCCGGACCGTCCGGACAACACCCCGCTAAGCGATTCACAGCGGTGGGGGTGTTCAGTGGCTCTTCCACCGGCCCTGACAGGGGTTATTCCTGGTGGCGGGCTCAGGTTCAGCACTTCCTGGAGGCCTTGCTCGCACCCGACCGCGGCCAATGCTTTGGATTGCATTGGACCAAGTGAATGGGTCCGTTCACACCCAACAGTCTGTCGCAGACCGTGGCCAGTGTATGACAGGCTGTAGCAGACTGCGGCCGGTGTCTGACAGGCTGCAGCAAACTGTAGCTGGTGCCTGACAGACCACACCAGACTGTAGCCGGCGCCTGACAGACTGCGGCAGACTGTAACTGACAGTCTGACTGCAAATGACAGACTGACAGGCTGCGGCAGACTGCGGCTGGTGACTGACGCACCGCAGCAGACTGTAGTCCGCGCCCGTCAGGCTGCAGCAGACTGGAACTGACAGTCTGACAGGCTGCGGCAGACTGCGGCCGGTGACTGACACACTGCAGCAGACTAGCCCGCGCCTGTCAGGCTGCAGCAGACTGGAACTGACAGTCTGACAGGCTGCAGTGGCCGATCAGCCGTGCAGCAGCAGACTGGACGTCTTCACCACACCGTCCAACGAGGCCGTGACGCACATGTTGTCAGCCATGTCGCAGGTCAGCACCGAGGTCACGTGACCGCCCAGACTGAGCACCGGCTCCAGAGCGGCGGCGCCCGGGCTGGCTGCCGGCTCCAGGGCGGCGCCGCTCAGCTGAAACGAATGACGTCGTAAGGTCAACACAAGCCAACACAGGATTACCACCAATCGGTGGCCTCCGCTCATGGTGCGCTACACCCACGTGACCATATGGTTCTCCCGATGACGTCATAAAAGGTTATGTGCTGCCACAAACAGGCAATTTAGTGTACCTGAGACAAGAGGCAAATGTCAAGACGCCTTTCGCGACAAAGGCTCGCCATCACGCACTGGCTGCAGCAGTAAAAAAAACCGTCCGCATTTTCTAGAGTCTTAAGATAAACCCCTGATGTGCAAAGCCTATTCACTGAACAGGACTCGAAACCCCGCGCTCTAAACACAGCAAAGTTGAGCCCAAAGCGCAGGGGGCATACGACGCCCCCAGCTGTTGAGCGTTGGACCACCTTGTAGAGGCGCCCGCCGGTGCTGCCGCAGGTCAGCAGGTGCTGCCGGTGGTCCAGCGCGAACAGCTGTCCGTAGGGCCGCTGCTGGACCGGCTCGCCGCCGGCCACCGGCCGACTCAGCACGAACGGCCCGCTCGCCCGCTCGTGCAGCGGCCACTCGGCCAGCTGACTGCCCGTCTGGGCCAGGCTCCACGTGACAAACTGGCGGCGTGGTCAGCACGGCTGCTGTAAAGCACGTCGGGGCCCGGCTGCATGTGGCTCGGGGCAGCGGTCGCTTCAGTAAACGCTACAAGTGACCAAACACCGCGGAGCAACGCGGTCCAATGCAGAAAAGCACGGTTAGCCATCATCAACAGCACTGAAGCCCACTTCTAGTCCCGAGGTGATTCCACCTAGCATTATGGATGGGCAGGCAAAACAAAGCCCGAGTCAAAAGAAGAAGACACGACAAAGTAGACTGCCCCGGCGATTTGGTCATCAGAAAACTCCACTTGTGACAATGCATGCCAGCTGACTGCGACAGAAACGTGAAAGACCAAGCGCTTGGCGGCAAATAAAAAGAAACATAGCTTAGATGTTTCTTCTCCTGACTTCTGAATTCCGTCAATCACATCGTCCTGTTCTGCAGCGTTCACTATAAAATGTGTCTCTGTTCGGCCCAGTCTCACCTTGTTGTCGGCGCCCAGTGCGTAGATGTGCGTATATCCGGCCCAGTCTCACCTTGTCGGCGCCCAGTGTGTAGATGTGCGTCTGTCCAGCCCAGTCTCACCTTGCTGTCGGCGCCCAGTGCGTAGATGTGCGTATGTCCGGCCCAGTCTCACCTTGTTGTCGGCGCCCAGTGTGTAGATGTGCGTCTGGTCGGGCGAGAGGCGCAGAGTGAGCGCGGCGCCAGTGTGCGCCGTCCAGTCGCTGATACAGCCCTCCATGCGACCGTCGTACACGCGCACGTGACCGTCGCTGCAGGCGCACAGCAACAGCTGGCCGTTGTGGTTGAACTCGGCGGCGCCGCACGTGACGCCGGCCGGCAGACTTAGCGTGCACTGGCGGCCGGGTCGGGCGTGGTCAGGCAGCGCCCGAGCGCGGAGAGAACCAGCGACGGCATAACGGTGACGTAGACAGTCATATTTATCAAGCTGTCCTCGGAGACTTACACTCCAGGGCATCGTCAGAAAACCAGCTTCATCAGTGTGCTCTGCTGATCGGCCCCGACAAAGTAACCAGGCCTCAATTCGCTGACTGCAACAGCCTGTGACCACCTCCGCGGGAGATTTTGCGAGAAACTTAACACCAGTCCAGGGGTAGTGGTTGAGGGTCGACGACGGCACGAGCCGGTCACTCACCTCCTCCTTGGACGCCTTGAGGTCGTAGATGAGCAGGTCGGAGCGCGGTGACCCGCTGCCGGCGCGCGACGCCAGCGAGCACAGCACGGAAGTGGACGGGCTGGCCCCGGTCAGGTACAGCACCCTACGGGCGGGGCTCGCGGTTACACACGCACTGCAGCTCAGGCACCCGGGGAAACCTACCAGCCCTAGAAATGAGATAAGCGGCCAGCCAGCGAGGGGACCGGCCAATGGGTGCCAGACAAGCCGAGCAGGATGTGATGCGATGTCTTCAAGCCCAGGGCACAGCAACGTCAAACGAGCCTACCGTCTGCTGGAGCTCGGCACCCAGCCTCCTGGGAGGGGGGGGGGGGGGGGCGGGGAGATATACACTTGGCCCCCGCGCCATGGCGCGGAGCGGGCGACCCTGACCCCAGCCAGCCATCCGTGCTGCATCGCCCCACATGCCCCGTCCCGGGGCCCCCGACAGCGGCGCTCGCCGTCGGCAGCAGCCCACCGTTTGTCCTTGAGCGCCGGCAGCGCGTCGCCGCCCAGCTCCATTAGCTGGCGCCGCTTCACCACGTCGTAGATCTTGACGTCGCCGGTGGCGGTGCCGTAGGCCAGTAGATGGGCGCTGAGCCAGCAGCACGAGAGGACGGGAGAGCGCGCCTTCATCGTGCACACCTGCCTGGCGCAGCCGGGGCTGGGCGTCACGCCACTGAGGCTCACGCTGCGCACACAGCAGTGTCGGAGGCAGTTTGTGGCGCGACGTGCCACATGGCTCTGACCGCATTCGATCAACTCCCCATGTCCATGAGACAGCTGACTGAGGTCAGGCTGTAGCTCGGGAGAGCTGCCTTAGCAGTGGCAAGACGCACCCAGCGGCGAGCTTCTTTTCTAAGGCGACGTTAGAGCTACTACGGCACAGTCATCCCGCGAAACGTTTCCACTCCCGATCCCAAGACGGAGCTGTCGCGGTGGCCACTTGTGATCAGCTTTCCAAGCCGCAGGGTGTCGGCCCACCGTTCCCATCTCCCCGCGGCCGGCGGGACGGCGGCGGGCGGGACCCCGCCGACAGCTCACTTGGGCGGCGGGGCGGGCGCCCACACGCGCACGGCGCCGTCCATGTCGCACGTGGCCAGCAGCAGACCGGACGGACTGAAGCGGCCGTGGGTGACGGCCGCCCGGTGGCCGGGCAGCGCCTCCTGCCGGCGGCGGGCGCCGTCAGACCGCACCGACACCGCGGCGCCCCCGCGGTGGGGCGGCACCCAGGCACGGTGGTAATTGGGCGCACCGTCTGAGCTTTGTTATGCCTCATAGCGTGCTCGAGACTGCGTTTTCACGCGTCACAGAAATCTGGCTTCCAAGATCTGCGCAAGCTGAGTTTCATCATGATTTCAATGCGGAAGAACAAAAGAGCGTTGAAGACAAGTACGAGTTTGTCGCAATTACCTAACCTTCCAAACGAAGACCAATGTGAGCAAACTATTAACGTTTCTATGTTACGGATCTTGCACACCACTCACAAAGCAGTCTTCACATATAGCACGGCTTCGCATTTCCACAGCGGATGCACCAGGAGCAGCATGTCTGACTAAGAGAAAACATACCCGCCGTATGGCCAACTCAAAAACAGATCGTCACCACACCCCGCCGGCTCTGAACGCTCCCGCCCCGGCGGGCCGGTGCCCGGCCCAGCCCGCACCCACCCACCCACCTGTCCGAGCAGCACAGGACCGCTGTCGGCGTCGGGCCCGTCGGCGGCCGGCTCGGGCGGCGCCGGCGGCCGTCGACTGGCCGACACGGAGCGTACCAGCCGGGCCGGGGCCACCGGCTCCTGGCGGCCGCCGCTGCGGCACGGCAGCGGCACGGTCAGACAGCGCGCCGCCGACCCACGCGCACGCGCGGCGACACTGGTCCGGTAACAGCACAGGGGGCAGGTGGTCGAGAGGTTTAGAAATCGCAGTAAAAGCGAAATTACTTGAACTTGACATGCCCAATCGTGGCTCACTGCCTTGCGCGGTCCTTTTCATTCAACCTTGTTAGGAACTTTTAGCTTCATAAACATAAAAAATAGGTACGGGGGTACCCGGCGGCGGTTAGGAATATTCCGAGTAGTCAGCCAGGTGGGCAGGTAATCTGCTCGTTCACAACGCTAGGGCCGCCGACAATTCGCAGTCACCACATTACCGCCCGTTGTCGCGGCAGCAGACCATCACACCGACCGCCCGGCCGCACAGAACCCGCGATCGGCGGACCGGTACCTCATGACCGGGCGACATCGGCTACTTACCCGGCGGCGGGACCGGTACCTCATGACCGAACGGGCTCATCGGCTGCTTAACCCGGCGGCGGGACCGGGTACCCCCTGACCGGCGACATCGGCTCTTGCACGCGGGCGGGACCGGTACCCCCCTGACGGGCCGCGGCGGGCGACATCGCGGATGCTTACCCGCGGCGGGACCGGTACCCCCTGACCGGGCGACATCGGCTGCTACGGCGGCGGGACCGGTACCCCTGACCGGGCGACATCGGCTGCTTACCCGGCGGCGGGACCGGTACCTCATGAACCGGGCGACATCGGACTTACCCGGCGGCGGGACCGGTACCTCATGACCGGGCGACATCGGCCTATTAACCCGGCGGCGGGACCGGTAACCCCCTGACCGGGGCGACATCGGCTGCTCACCCAGGCGGCGGGAGCCGTGGCCGGTACCCCCTGACCGGGCGAATCGGCTGCTTACCCGCGCGGGACCGGTACCCTGACCGGGCGACAATCGGCTTTTCGTTTGCTTACCCGGCGGCGGGACCGGTACCTCCTAACCGGGCGACATCGGCTGCTTACCCGGCGGCGGGACGGTTACCGGGGGAGCGGCGGCGCGAGCCCGGCGAGGTCGAGCCGATGGAGCGCATCAGAGAGCGGAACTTGGACGACGACGAATTGTCGGCGGCCGGAGTCTCGCTGAAAACCAGGCGGTACTCGATGGAAACCAGTCGCTACTGCAGCACGCACCAGTTCACGCGGCCTTCTCACCCGCCTGTCGCAAATTCCACACAGCGCGCGCGCGCAAACTCGTGCCGCGGTGGTCGTGAACAATTCAGCGACGAGCGCCACGTACTGGCCAGCGACGCCGGCCTGGTTCACCAGGCGCCCATCGGTGCGCAGCCACCGTGTGACGGCCGCCCGGACTTCACTCACTGCGCCACCACGCTGAAGTCGTCCATGAGCGGCTGGACGGCGGGCGGTTCGGGTGGCGGCGGCTCGGCGGCGCCCGTCAGCGCCTCCAGCCGCGAGCGCAGGTCCATGTTTTCCCGCTGCAGCTGCAGCAGCAGCGCCGAGTCCTCCTGGTACTTGGCCAGCGTCGGCGGGCTCATACACTGGAACGACGGACAGTGGCGGGGGAGGACACGTCACCGCGTTCTGTACAGGCTGCAGCTGTGCACTGGCATGTCTCGCGCTATACATAGGTTATGCAATTGTTCTCGGCACTTACCTGGAAGACGATGGAGAGGAAGTTGTGAAGTGAAACGGTGAGCGTGTCTTGCCATTGTCGACTAAAAAAGACGGCGAACGTTGGGTGGTCCTCGGGCGTCTTGAGGAAAGGCAGCGCTGCAAGCCGACCAATCACGAATGAACAGATCAAACTGGCAATGTTGGGATGCCATATGAAACCATACTTATTGGACTGCACTCCTGACAACTTACATTTGACGCACAATACACACTTAGACAGACTGTATACCTAGACACGTATGAATCATCCACGAATTCCACCTTGCGGCTTGAAAGGAGACACAATTTGTAAATCGTGAGGATGATTATCACACAAATTTATGTGTGATAACCGTGTGAGAAACGTACCTAACAATAAGTGAACAGGGCAAGAACACATTGCTGAAACAGGTCACGGATAAAAGGATCACTAGCACCAAGAGCATCACACCTGATCAACGGTGCGCTCACCGAACCAATCACGCCATTCATGGCGGCTGTGTATCTCCGGCGCCATCTTGTCGAAGAACTCTGTGACCTTGTCCCTGTTTCGGCCGGCTGCCGACTGCTGGTCAGGGGTGGATGCTGCCTGCACCACGTATCTTCTCAGCAGGTCAATACCGAGCTCGCGGGAGGCTGTGATGGCAGCGGTAACAGCGTGAGAGATGCCCTCAAGAAGCCTTCCCCAGGGCAATGAAAACTTCTTATTGGAGTGTGGTAACAATCTGAGCTTATCTAGCCAGACAAATTTCAGCTACCATCCTTCATTTATAAAAGCATAGGTGACTCTTCGAGGTTTCACGTAGTGGTGGTAACGCTAGTCAGTCATTGCCATTCCATGTTACCTTAATATGCAACACAGACTACTGAGCAGTATTTCGCCAAGGTGGGGCTACATAATCTAAATTGGGTGTTTTTGTGTAGTAGCATCATTATCCACCCTGCATGGGACATGCAGTTTTGGGAACTGATGTAAACATCACTCAAGGAACCACTCCAGGCAACCAAACTTATAGTAGAAGAAATCCTACCAATCATCTGATGGGACTCCAAGTGGATGAAAATGTGTTGGTCAAGATGACTCCACATTGTCCTCAAGTTCTCCAAATCCAAGTTATGTATGCTGGACATAAGAATGTCCATTATCTTGTCCACCTGAAATACATTTTGATTCAGTTGGGTTAACATGCACCATATCCAGCACATAGATGTTATTTTTTTCACAGCATTTCACACTCCTTGCATATAACAAAGCTCACATAAATTCACAAACATTTCAAAGAGCATTGGCATGCATCAAAAGCAAGTCAACAAATTCTAAGATTGCCTGGGCTTAATGAAATACTAAAACAGTGCAGTTCCTTCAACAAAATACACCTTCAGTGGTGCAGCCATACCCGGAAGCTGTTGTCCTTGCTGGCCTTCACATCACTATCAAAGCTTTTCAGTGCTGTTATGAATCCTCTGGAAATGAGATATTCACGGACCAGGTTATCTGTAAACTGAATGTGAGCCATCTGAAAAACAAGAACAATTTATTGTTTATGCTGCATCATGCTGAAAAATTGGTATGAGAATATATCACACAAAAATTCAGTATCACAGATTTGAAAAGCCAATGGCATGTTCACATGGTTTCCTTTGCCAGCCTCATGACAGCATGCTTTTTCCTTTCACTGTAATACCCTTTAATGCTGGGTGACCATCTCTGAAACATTAGCATAACATGAGTTCCATTGTGCCCTCACTCTGTTCACCAGGATTGAAGGGCATGATAATCTTGTTGGGAGCTTATAAGTATAAGGCCAGAAGTCAGTGGTACTTATGTTGCTGAGTGGGTGTTATTTGAAGAACTTCTTGATACCACAGACCCAGTGATAGTGGTACAGCAGGCAGTCTGTACTAGTGTAATTGAAAAAAGACAAGGAAGATCAGAACAACTTAACTCCTGCAGACTTATAAATTACTGGTGACAAGGGTAACTTTTCTGTTTTAATATGTTCATAAACATGTTGTTTCCTTTTCTGATGATTGATCATTGTGACAATGAATTAAAATCACGACACATGTATTCCTACACACTTAATCTAAGCCTTTTGAATTAAAATAGAGTGATTTCTACTATCAGTTGGCACTTGAAAATGCTTGTCATGTGAGTCATTACTCCCACCATCTGATTGTGTAATTTCAGACAGCAAAAACAGCAAAAGGTGATCACAGAAATTTAATGTGCTGCAATGCAATGCTTGTCTCTTTGGCCTAGCCAAAGGCCATACCTGTCTAGGACAATTAATAGTAAACAACTAAAGTGACTTGAACTTCCACAGATGGGAGGATCAGAGGTAGGTACCCTAACCAACTGAACCACCAGGACAAATTGTTTAATCAACATTTCTGGAAAACAACACAAAACATCATCCAATGGGTACAAAACTAATTACAACTTTTGTTAATTTTGACATCTGGCACTCATTTGCAATGACTGCAGAACCAATAAGTTATGACCAGTGACTTTCATCACAAGACTTTCTGCTCTGCTTTACAAGCTGGCCTTCAAGCACAACTTACCAATTACCCAGCACCAAGCAACAATACCACAACAACCTCCGCAGCTAACAGATTAAATACTGTGGGACCAAAGGCAAAACCAAGCTATTATGTGACTACCTGTGTTCTTAGCAACTAGCTCATTGGTCTAATAGTAGCCCAGATGTGCCTCATAGGCATAATCAATGTATTTGTTGTAGCTGAGCTGGCTTGAGTTCAAATTATGGAATTCCTGCATCATGCTGCCTAAGAAAATTTCACACATGCGCAAAAAATAACGGTAACTATCACTACGTGGCAATCGTGAATCGTGCTACCTTTGGACTAAGGTCAAAAACTTGAGGATACAATGAGTGATCTGTTCCCGTACATTCGCTCCCGTATCTACGGCCCAATGCCATACAGGGCTAAGGCCTTGACTGTAACGTCTTGTACATTATTGTCTCACTTGCGTCATAAACGCAAAACGTGAACATTGTGTTCACAGGGGGCGGGCAGTCATCATATTTCCAGCCTAGCACCAATCATATTCCCATCTTTCGCTAATAATTTTCGTGTCTGGGCAATGCCAGGTCAAATCACTTCACTAATCAATCATCAAATCACTAATCAATCAATCAATCAAATCACTAAGGTCGGCGTAGAACTGGTTGAAATGATCCCTCTGACTTGATGTCCGTGGATTTGCGACTTGTTGATTATTTTAGTTAGCTCGTTAGAGGACGGCGACATA